GCTGTTATAAGACATAATAAGTCTAAAGCAGTCCATCACCTTCACCTAACGTTATCGAACAAAATAATATTGATCATAAAAAATAAAGATCTTTCTCTAATCAAAGCTACTAAAAGCTTATTACACAGCTACTTTCCAAATAAACAAAGAGAGAGGTTATTTACACTATTGATATGAGATGGTAATAGGGAGAAGAATGGGATCGGGAAAAGGCGGATTCACATTAAAAACTTTATAAAACATTTTTCTGTTATCAAAACAAAGTTGCAGAACAACTTTCCTGTTATCGATTCCTACTATTCCCACCATTTTCTTTATTACTCCTTTCTCTTCCTAAACTGGGGAGGAACATAATAACGGGCTTGTGTATTTGGTCGGTTTTGTCTCACCTACCCAGACAATGGCGGGCTTTTTGAATTTAGTATAGACACTGAGATAAATATATAAATGGATATAATATATCCATTTGAGTCTAAGTAATTGTATTATGTGGAGGGGTATAACAGCTCAACACAAAGAGCAGTGAATGTGAGCATCATCTAGTAACTGAGTCAGACAGAAGGCCACCCGAGGCTGTCCTACCAGACCACTGAGGTCAGATGTAAAAATAGCACAAGCTGATATTTGCCAGACTGTAATATGGACACATTTCTGAGATGCTAAATGAATGAGAATCATCCATTTGTTAATAAGAAATTGCCTTGAATCTAAGTAGCACCAGCTTCATGTGTACAAGTCTATATATCTTTGCACTGACAGTGTGGACAATGTCTCATACTCTCTTCACTGGACACTTTAATGACCCCTGTGATGGTGACCATGTCTCCAGGCACACAGCTGTCCACCAGGTCCTGCGTGAGCTCACATTCAATGGTGCGCGGGATTCGACCGGACTCACGCTGGTCACCTGACATCATCTCCTGAACCCTGTGAAGAGCACAGGAGGAGAAATCATGGCAATGAGTGATGGTGTTCTCTTAAAAATCTCACACCAAAGTGTTGCTGTTGTTAACTAAAACCAAAACTATTAAAAATCACTTTCAGTAATTGAAATAAAGCTCAGATTAAATAAAACATAAACTTGAGAAATAACTTAAGTTGAAGTACTAAAATTACTAAAACTTAAATAAAAATGAAGGCTATACAGAAATATTTCAAAACACTAATAAAAATGACAAAACACATAAAATAAAAATATATGAGATAATTTAAAATACTAATAAATAGTATAATAGTATATGGATAATACTAAAATAACACTGGCAGTTATAACAAACTATTATAACAAAATTATGTTATAATAAAAATGAATAAAAAAAAGAAATGGTCATCATTAAACAATAGCTGACCATTCGATGATGAGAAATGCAAAGACTATATTTTACAAGGCATTTACACTGAAAGCAATGACAAAAAAAAAAAAAGCAAAAAAAGCAACATGAAATTTGCTCTGCTCAGGTAATTATATATTTTCATACTTTATTGTTTGCCAGTCGACAGTGAGTGTCAAAGGTGAACTTCTGTTTGGAGTGAATGAACGTCCACGACATTCAGCCTGTAAACACTGAAGAAAAAATGAATAAAAATCATGTTAGATGTCACTAAATACATCAACAGTGACATTTACTACTTACTATGTGCAATGTCTAATTTTATATGTATTGTTTACAGATTATTCTTTCTTTTCTCAGTGATTTTCCACAGTTTTTTTTCCACTGAACAAAATTAAATATAGATATTAAATAAATATGGGTGGAATGTTACAAAATCAAAACTTGTTAAACATGTTATATACAAGTAATATTGGTTGAAGCTGAAAGCACACTGTACCTTAGTGGGTATGGTGTATTTCCCATCAGGCAGTGTGACGCTCTGTGTATCTCCACAGCTGTTACAGGCGAACGCCAGCTTACTGCAGAGCGGTTTAATGTTACTCACTCTCACCACCGTTCCTCGGATCGCAACAAACTTCCCATATAAATTCGCTCTCAGACTTTTCAAAGGAGTCAGTGGCTCATAGTTATATAGCCTAAAAGAGAGAAAGAGAAACGCATACAAGAAATTAAAACACTTTTTTTTTTTTTATTCAGCGCAAAATGAAACTATATTATCTCCGAACTCTGTAAATAAAGTTGGTCGTATAAGCATGTCTTTATCCGGATACATGCGATATATTATTATAAGATATTATTATAAGACTTCAGATATTAAGATATTATAAACATTAACATCATTATTTTCTGTAAAGCTCCTTTGAAACAATGTGCATTGTGAAATATACAAATAAATCTGACTTGACTCTCAATTTGTAATTATTTGAATTCATAAGGCAAGTACACAGACTCACCTGGCGCTGATGTGTGGGGTGTTGATTATGGGCCGTACGCCTGCGGGAAGACCCTCCTGCCCCTGCAGTTCTGCCGCATGTCTCTCCAGATCCACAGTCAGCACCTGCAGAGAAACATTCAATTATTTCAGCTTGATCTTCCGAGATTTCGGCATAATGTTAAACTGAGAACAGTGACGCATATGTAAATGCGCAACACAAAACCCACCTGATGAATTGCCACACCCAAGCAGTCCAGTATCTTCTCAGGCATTTCTTTAAGATCTTTGGCAAGCTCAGGTAAAGTGTGTGAAATCTGTTTGTTGGACAACAGGTCTTTGTAGTCCACCAAAATGCTGCCTTTCCTTTCAATCTCATCCTGAGGGTGAAAAAAATATATATTTTGTTTGTTTTTTTACACTGGAAATAGGGAGAATCATCATGCTGTGAAATCTGATACCTTATCATAAAGATCCATCTGCGATGTGAAGTACCGTTCAAACACTTTTATCTTCTCAACATAAGGAGAACTTTTAACAAATCCTGAAAAAAAGAACAAACGCAAATCACAAACTATTGCAATCATAAATCAAAATCAAGAAGACATTCAGACATATATATCCAACAGGTCAAGAATACATTCATAATGTAAATGGGAATATATAAAACCTTCAGAAAAATAGAGTCGCCATCCTTTGTATGGACACGTGATATCAAGGGTTGCTTGACTAACTTGTGGAGTAAATCCTGTGGAGTAAAAACAACAACATTAATAATAATTAAAAAAAATGGCAATGTCAGTATAACAAAAAAAAAGTTAGAAATAAATTATAATTTCTCAAATACAACATTACTAAAGGGTTAGTTCACCCAAAAAAGCTAGGAAGAGCCAGGATATTTATTTTATATAACTGAGATTGTGTTCATCTGAAAGAAGAAAGTCATACACACCTAGGATGGCTTGAGGGCGAGTAAATCATTGGGTAATTTTCATTTTTGGGTGAACTATCCCTTTATTATAATTAATTATATTTAATTTCTTTCCTAGTTAAGTTAGTTTTTTCTAATCTAGCTTTCTAATAAATCTGGCATACATACTATGAGTACTGTTGGCTCTGTGAGGAATTGCTTTTTTGTTTTTCTATAGCAACTTGTGTTAGATAAAAGTGTCAACTAAATGCATGAATGTAAATGTAAATGATTTTAATCAACTTTTATTGTCAATAGTCACAAGCTACCCAACTGTTCAGACACTTAATATTTTGGTGTATTGTTGGTGGAATAGTTCCCTCTTCCTAAAAAAAGAAGAAAAATCCTATTGTTTTTGTCGAGGGAACCAGTGTGATGCGAACTGCCAGTTGGCCTACAAAGCGACATCATACCTGTACCACTCTATTAATATAATTACATTTAGTTCATTCAGTTTTTTCTTATCTAGCTTTTTAACAAACAGGGCATTGTATACTATGAATACCGTTGGCTCTGAGATGAATTGCTTATGTTTTTCTATTGTAAGTTGCTTAGGATAAAATGCATAAATGTATAACATGTATTTGAATCAAGTTTTTTTTTGTCAATGGTCACAAGTAACCCAACTTTTAAGACACTTACTATTTTGTGTATTGTTGGTGGGATAGTTCCCTCTTCCTCCTCCTCCTCCTCCTCCTCCTCTGCTCCACTGATGGCCTCTCCATCCTCTTCCTCCTCTCCATCCTCTTCCTCCAGCAGATGAGCTGTTTGCACCCCTCCATGACCCTCGGTCAGAACCCTGACTGCTCATCCTTCACTCTCGAAAGTCTGAAAGCAAAATCACAACAAATAGCCTAAGTTAAACCTATCATCAACGTGTCACAGAAACATGATCACCCTAATATAGATCAATATAAACAAAATACGGAATCAAATCAATAAAGACCTGCTGTTTTACTTACAACTTATCATCTATTATAATAACTAAACACATATCTAATATTTTGCTAACCATAAAAAGACTAAAATAAATCTAAATTCGGCGATATCAGTTCTACAATGAGTCAAATAATTAATTACACAGATAACTAACACTTGGACTAACTGTTGTTTTTTTAACTTTACAACGGCTCTAATTAATGTGGAAGAAAGAGCATACATTAAGGAAAAATGTCGACACATCTTTTAATAAAGAAAGATATTTTAAAAGATCTTATTGAGAGAAGTACTTACTACCACTGTTTGTTTACTTCCTCAGTCGATGACGTCTGGTCAGGCTTCAAGTTTGGCGCTCATCGTGACGCCACTTCCGTACATGCGCTGAGCCGTAAACGTCGTTTTTAGCCCTTTTTTTTACCGTTCTTTGCATGATGTTAACGTTACTTTTCTTTCGAAGCTACATTTAAATCCCATTTATGTTTTTAGCAAATTCACGCTTTAGCGTTTATTTCGAAACGTATGTATACGTGTTTATTTGTGTATTTTTCATGTTTAAATTCCTTCCGTATTTATTGATTTGATGCATTTGTTCATCCGTGGATGATAATAAAAGTATGTGGCTACGTCTTCATTCATGTATAATAATAAGAGGGCGTGACTACGTCTTCAAGTATGATAACAAGAGGGCGTGACTACGTCTTCATGTATGATAATAAGAGGGCGTGGCTACGTCTTTCAACCAAATACTGTCGCAGTTTCTCGCTCAAGAACGCGCATCATCAGCATCACCTGACAGCAGGAGGAGGAGGAGGAGGCGAGCATCCTTCTCATGATTCTGCATTAAAGCCGCACTCTATATCAACAAACACCGGGCCTTTACGGATCCAACAGCAGCTCTGCGTGAACACCACACATTAAATCATGGATAATTCCGGGAAAGAGAAGGAAGCCATGCAGCTGATGGCAGAGGCGGATAAAAAAGTCAAATCATCGGGTTCATTTCTCGGAGGGATGTTCGGGTGAGACTGAAATTATGCTGGTCACGATCTGACATTCAAAGACATCCAATGTCCTGTAGTATTTTCAAATAGCATATGTCTATAGAATTTTTTTTTTTTTTTGTGCATTTTATACCCTAAGCACGTATAAAATGAGCTGTATCCTTCCACGCGTTTCTCAACATTTCCAATGTCAAATATTTTCTATGTTGCGACATACAGACTGCTTTGTATTTGATAGGCCTACCTCATTTGATGAGATATTCATTTTGAAATTGCCTTTAAATGAAAGAAATGTTGATATTTTCACAGGGGAAATCATAAGGTTGAGGATGCATGTGAAATGTATGCCAGAGCTGCCAACATGTTCAAGATGGCCAAAAACTGGAGTGGTATGCACAAGTCATTTCATAATTTATATGTCAAGTGGTAAATTATTTTTCTAAATGCTTAATATTTTGTCACGCTGTTAGAGTAGGCCTATTATTGGATATTCACTCCAAAGCATCATTTGACTGGCCATCTTTGTGCTCGAACCCAGTTCATGATTAGTGATCTTACTGCAGTATTGATGTGTGTTTAAGCATTCACCCTGCTTCTGAAGAGTTCTGTCATTATTGTCAGTGATCTAAAGATGTATGTGTTTCGCTGCTGTAGCTGCCGGCAGTGCTTTCTGCCAAGCTGCAAGACTTCACATGCAGATGCAGAACAAACTGGACTCGGCCACCAGCTTTGTTGATGCTGGAAATGCTTATAAGAAGGCAGATCCTCAAGGTGAGAGAGCTTAAAATAACACTGGTTTTAAAGGGGACCTATTTTGCAAAATTCACTTTTACATGGTGTTTGAACATAAATGTGTGTCGGCAGTGTGTTACACAACCACCATATAATGGTAGAAATCCACCCACTCCTCCTTTTTTAATCCCCATAAATCAGCAGTGTCTCAGAACAAGCCGTTTGCAGATTCTAGTGATTCAAATGTGTAGGCCCACGACTGCTGACAGACTCCGCCCTATTAGCATAGACCCCGCCCTGAGTGAGCTGTACACAGTCCGCCATGTTTATCTCATCGCCAGAGCATTTAACACTAGCATTCATGTAAGAAATGTATTCTTATTAAAACTACTAAAGCTATTCAGTCAAGAGCAGTGATTGATTTTATGGGTTTTTTTGTTGTTGTTGTTTGATTCATATTAAATGCATATACAGCAGTAGGTACTGTATATTACGCTGCTTTCACTTTAATACACAGATCTAATATACACATGTGATTTCTTTACTTGCCGTTTACGTTCACAGACATAATCGACTGTGTTTATGTGAACTTGTTTGACATAACTGTGAGTATTTGACAGTTTAAGCGCAATAACATGTGAAAGAGAACTTAGTTTAATAATCACGCGCCGTCTGATATCCAGCTATCTGTGCGCGTGCTTCGATGTGTGCGCTCAGAAAACCATATATCAGAAGTTTAGACTGATATGGTTTTAAAACACATGCAGATAATAAACTTTCATGATGATGAAGAACTGCAATGTCATGTGAGCATGACCACGACCGCGATAGAGATGATAATCAAAACCAAACAGATTTTTCTGAGCTGTAATGGCTCCGCCCTCTTCTGGAAAGGGGGCGGGGAGCAGCAGCTCATTTGCATTTAAAGATACATGCACGAAAACAGCATGTTTTCCCTTCCTCTCCTTCCATTTACAACATGCTATAATAAATATTATATTACATCATCAAAACTTATATTACATCTTGTAAAAAGGGACATAATAGGTCCCCTTTAATAAACAATCTAATTTCCAAAAGTTGTAACACATCTGCACATGTCTGTTGCTTGATTGAATAATTGCTTGGATGAGATTATGAGTGAAGATGAATTTGTAAGAATTGCATTTGACTCATTTTGTTCTCTTCTGTTTGAATGAATCACACAGAGGCTATCAACTGTTTAAACGCAGCCATCGATATTTATACAGACATGGTAAGACACTGGGACTTGTGCGCATATTAATGCGTAAAAATTAATGCATTTTCTGTGGTTTGTTAACCTGAATGTGCCTGTTTACTGAGCATGTGGATGTTATATAATCTCTAATTTGTATGTGTGATTGACAGGGAAGGTTCACGATTGCTGCAAAGCATCACATGACCATTGCAGAGATCTATGAATCCGAGCTAGTGGATATTGAAAAGGTGCCGTTTGCCTTTAAACATATATTAGATGCAGTCTTGTGTATTTTTTCCCCAAAATGCTTTTGAAGGTCAATGTAACAGGCCTGAATGTTGTGTGATGTTGTTTTAGACCATTGCACACTATGAGCAGGCCGCGGATTATTACAAAGGCGAAGAGTCAAACAGGTTTGTGTTTTCATTGTTTGTCATTGGCGGTTTCCTCTGTGTAAATTCTATTAGAATGTCATTCAATATTTATAATTATCCTCCATTTCCTTTTATTGTGGGCTGTAAAAAGAGCTGTTCACTCTGTGTAAATGCTCATTTATATTGCTTGATGTTTTCTGGTTAAGCTCTGCTAATAAGTGCCTGCTGAAGGTGGGCTCGTACAGCGCTCAGCTCGAGCAATACCCCAAAGCCATCGAGATCTATGAGCAGGTCAGTGGGACACACTCAACCCTTCTTTTATTATATTACTCATTTATTTATAGTATTATACATAATAATACTATATAGGCCTGTTATATATGATTTATTTTAGTTTTCACAAAAAAATGCATATGCAAAAATAAATAAAAGTATTGTTATTATTATTAGTAAATAAATAAATAATATTTCTAATGGAACAGTACTACATTGAGTAGCATAATAATATAATGTAACATAATAGTTATATTTTTTAACAATTTTAATTATTTTCCAAATAATTTTATAGAGTTGCACGATTAATGGTTAAAAGATTGTGATCTCCATTCAGACACCCACACTATCTTATTCCTGAATGATGTCTGCGGTAACGTTCAAAATAGATTAAATCTTTAATAGATTAAACTTGACACTTCAGATAAAGATTGTATCAATTACATTGGTCCTCAAGTATGTGGCGACATATGACTGTTACAAAATGTGTTTGTCATTGAATCTTTCATTCAAGTGATTTGTTCAAAAATGCTGATTCATTCAGTAATGAAACATGTGAAGTCTTTATGAGTGAGTCATTGAATAATTCTTCCCAAAACACTGGCTGCATCTGAAATCGCATGCTTCCCTACTATATAGTAGGCGAAAAACAGAATGTGACAAAAGAAGTATGTCAGAATTCACAGCATCCCATGAGGAGAGGGAGAGGATTTGTGAATGACAGTGAAGCGACACAACTGATGCTGGAAGGTCACATGATAATAACAACATGGCAAATGTATTACATTCAGATTATATTCATACTACATACAGATATTCTATATAGACCATATAGTATTTTATAGTATAGTATTCATATAGTAGTATTTTTTAGTGGTCGGGAAGTAATTATTTATTCAAAATAAGAACTTTCTCAAGAGAGTATGCGATTTTTGACTCATCGAAGATTCGTCCAGTAATGAAACAAGTAAAGTCTTTATGAGTGAGTTATTGAATCATTTATCCAACCCGGTTTTTCTTTTTAAATAATTCATTCAAATTAATTTAAATATTTTTAATAGATTGCAGCAATTAACATTTAGTCAGAATATCTAGATAAAACTAAATTTGCTTATTTATCTGATCAGAATTGAAGGAGAATTGTGATCTCTGTTTTAAACAAACATAGCCTATATAGCTTCCTCACTTCCTACCTTGTAATGCATCATCCGAAGGCAGCATTTTTAAGCTTTCGGACGCAGCCAATATCTCATAAACCTACATTACACGTTAAGTAAATGAGTTTTTACAATATGTTGGGGAAATGAAAGTGAATGAGAAGTAAAATATCTTCAGTTCAGTTCAGGACAGATGATATCAGAGGTAGGGAAGTGGTTTACAGTAACCAAAAGGTTAAAAGTTTAAATCACAGAAATAGCAATTCATGCAACATCAGTATTTTTGTCTTTGTGTCTGGTTGCTCCAGGAGGGAGCAAAATGTACTATAAGAAAGAAAGCATCTGCTAAAAAAGAATATTAATAAAATAGATCTATGGAGCATGTAACATTATTGAAGGAGACTCGTATGGAATATAAGGGTGGTTTAGGTAAAGTAAGCATGCTGAACAGTGAACACTAGAGCACCTTCATGTTTGCATTGTAAATCTAATCATATCCTTCTCCCCTCGGTAAATGAACACAGAGGGAATGAAAGTTAAAGCTGGTCTCTTTACATTCAGGTTGCAACCAGCACAATGGACAACCCTCTCTTGAAATACAACGCTAAAGAGTACTTCTGGAAAGCCGCTCTGTGCCACTTCATCGTGGATGAATTAAACGCAAAGGTTAGTCATTTTTTAACTCGCAGTATAAAGTAAAGTGTGTGTAGGCTATTTAGTTCTTTAATTCAATTACTATAATCTCTTATAGTAGCAATCCTTCATACTAATCACATTTATGTATCTCAAAAAAATAGTTTCAAATCAGCTTCACATTGAAAAACAGGAAAATAACTGTGTTAAGGCCTGTTCAGACCGAAGACGATAACTATAAAGATTGAGTTCGAAAAATCGTTTTAAGTATTAAAGAATAGCAGAGTTCACACCACAGCTATAACGTCACAGAGAAACAATATCATTGGAATCACATTCAGAATAATAAACGACAAAAACATTGACAGCCAATCATAATCTTGAGTATTTAAAGCGGCAGACGACAAAACTGCAGCGCGTGCTTACAAAAAACAAAACAACATTGTGCGTTGGTGTGGATGCTAATATAGTTATTGTTATAGTTATCTTTATAGTTATCTTGCTTGTTGTGAACGGGCCTTTAATGTTGTAAAATTAATCATTTCTGAAACAATTTCAGTTGTAAAGCAGCTCTACAGTAGTGTCATTCAGCTCAATTTACTTCAATGTCATTCAGTTCAGTTCAATAACTGTCAATGTTGCAGAGTTCATCAATTATGAAACAAGTTTAATTCAGCAATAGTGTTATTATTTAGCTCAAGTCAGTATAATGGGGATAGTTCACCCATAAATGAAAATTCTGTCATCATTTACTCACACTGAAGTTGTTTCAAACATTTATAAATTTCTCTCTTTTGCTGAACACAAAAGAAGAGCTTTTAAAAAATGTCTGTAACCAAACAGTTTATGGGCCATTGACTTCCATAGTATATATATATATATTTTGGAAGTCAATGGGGCGCATCAACTGTCTGGTTACCGACATTCTTTAAAAGCTCTTCTTTTGTGTTCAACAGAAGAAAGAAATTCATACAGATTTGGGATAACTCGAGGGTGAGTAAATGATGACAACATTTTCATTTTTGGGTCATCTATCCCTTTAAGCCGGTTGATATTGCAGTTGTCTTACACTGACACCTAGTGGCACTCATGCGGCAAACATGTTCAACCACCAATGCCATTGTATAAATATGCTGTTCCCATTCAGCTGTTCTTGCTCCTGACATGTAACAGCTCATCTGATGCAAATGTTCTGTTTGTTTTCTTTCAGCTTGCGATTGAAAAGTATGAAGGGATGTTTCCTGCATTCTCTGATTCAAGAGAATGTAAGCTGTTGAAAGTAAGTACAATTGTTTCATTTATTTAGCAGTATTGCACTGCAGTGATGATGCATTTTGGTAGAAGTTAGCATCCCCTCGACAAAAACCCAACACAATCTTTTTCATTGGCTTTTGGATTATTGCAGAGAATAAGCTCTATGAGCAAAAGTTTATGATTATTACATGTTTTGTTTATCATGATAATCATAAATGAACAGAACTTTTATGAATTTTGAAGCCTAAATACAATCAGCAGAAGTAAAAGGCTAAATGTGGGCTATAAGTGAATAATCAGTGAAAGGCAATCGGTCAGTCATATTTTGCAGTATTTGCACTGATGGTTTTGTCTTCTTGTACAGAAACTATTGGAGGCCCATGAGGAGCAGAACAGCGAGGCGTTCACTGAAGCCGTAAGTTTATAACCTCTAAAATGTGCAGTGGCTTTGGATGATCATACTGTACACTTTCGTATAGAAAAGGTTCTTTATTGGCATTGATGGTTCCATGAACAACCTTTAACCTCTAGAAACTTTCCATTGGACAAAAGGTTCTTTATAGTTTTTTCAGATTATTCAAATATTCTTCACAGAAAAAGAGTCCAAAAAAAAAAATGGTTCTTTTAAGACCTGATCACTGAAAGGTTCTTTGGGGAACCAAAAATGGTTCTTCTATGGCATCACTGCGAAAACACACTTTTGGAACCTTTGTTTTTAAGAGTATATTAGAGACACCGGGGCTAGTTGTCACATGTGGACTCAGAGGTTTTAAGTCAAAAGTCTAGTTAAACAAATGCTTGTTTTGTTTAGTACTTTTATTTCAACTTTCTTAATTTTTTTTTTAATGATTCTGATATTTTTGTTAAATTTTACACGGTTGTTATTGTGTTCATTATTTTGTCTTGCACAATAGATTTAATTTTGCTGAAAAGACCTTTTTGAAGGTTCATGTCTGTACATAAATTGACTTTCTTAAAGGGGTCATATAATGGTACATGCACTTTTACAAGTTGATTGTACTGAAATGTGTGTTGGCAGTGTCTGTACACAAACATCATATAATGATAAAAATCCATCCAGTGGTTTTGTTTTAATCTCCTTATATGTTTTCCCCTGCCTCAAATCGAGCCGTTCGTTTTTGTGACGTCAATAAAACGGACGCCCCTCCCACGATTGTTGATTGACGGGAGCGTTTCAACACAGACCCGCCCTCGCACATGAGAGCTGTCAATCATAGTCTGCGCGGCGCGGACCGGACCGGCGCGGTCATTGTTGATATGCTGGAGCACTGTCTATGAGCAGAATGGCGTCTAAGCGATTGTGTTGTTCTGTTCTTGGGTGTAATAACGAACACAGTCATTTTAATGTTCCTGAATCCGAACCGCTGAAGACGCAGTGGCTGAGTTTTGTTTTCGAAGGGAATATTCCACACGAGCAACGTCAATGCTCTCATGTTTGCGCGAATCATTTCTCACACCAGACTACTTTATAAACGAGGGTCAGTATAAAGCTGGATTTGCTAAGAAGCTTTGCTAAAAAGGATCGGTACCAGATATTCGTGTTCCTGCTGAACCTCCAGAAGAACGGAAGTGAGTGAAACGTTTTATTAAACTTTATAATATATTAATCTTTGCAAATCGCTAGCTGCACGCTTCACAATGAATGCGTCTAAGGTTTACACTCAGTCAGGGTACATTACGGCATGTTTTCTATGTATGACGTTCTCAATATAATTCATAATTCCACGTTTATACTGAACAACGCGTTATGGTTCTTGTGTTATTGTGTTACAAACGGTGTATGCACAGAACAGAGAGGCGGGGTGAGCACAGCTCATTATCATTTAAAGGCATATGCACTGAAACGGCGTGCTGAAAACAGAGCTGTTTTTGACCAGGTAAAATAAGTGTTTTCTTACAAGGGCTGCCAACTTTTGAGTTCAGCTTAGAGTGAGATTTTGGGGGGGGGGGCGGGGCTTGGGTTATGGGGGAGGGGCTTATTGAGGGGCGTGGCTTGGTGTGGGGAAAAATACAAACACAAAATCCTTGCATTAGCAGAAGTGTAATAAGTATATATTGATTGTCAAAGTATTTGGTATCTGTACAGAATTTCTTGGGAGATTTACATTACATTTAATTTTACATTTAACATTTTAATTGACATTCTGTTCTTAGAAAACAATAATTAACATTAACTACTAGGCATGTCCATATTTGTCATCTGGAAATGCTTTTGTACTGTTTTTATGATAAAGTTATGTAAAATAACTGCTCAGTGCTGCAAAACAAACAACTCTGCTATTGCTAACTTAATTCTATATAAACTATATAACAGGCCTATTACCAGCCTAAACTGGATGGAGACAAGGAGCGCCCTGTAACTCACTGACCTGCCTGCGTTCACAATTCACACGGTGCAGATGGGAGGGAGAACGGCTGACTACACAGTTTATGGGAATAAATTGTGTATTTCCCTCACAATTGTCACAAAAAACTCACACTGTCTGTCTGGTCTCCAGAGCCGGTCGTTGGGGTTCCCCTCCCACTACGCGAAGTCCCCTGTGCTTGACGATTATTGACACAAATGTCACACAATAATGATACATTATGAATGAATACAGTAAGGTTATGTATTAATACAAAATAAATAGGCCTACTTAATAAAAAATAGATGCCTACTTAAATAAAAAAGTTTTAACTTTTACTTTACTCTTTTACAAACTCTTTAAAACTTCTAAAAACAAACTGTCTCAAAACATATAAAATAAATGATTTGCTAAAATAATGACAAAACTGAGAAATCAGAAATATAATAAGAGCAAGGGTTCAACAATGACAATTATTGTTGAAAACTGTAAAAATATTATTATTTCTCAACTGTCTCAATACAGTGTAACTGTCCACTGGGTTGTGTTGCGAAAGACACGCAAGCTCGTTTACCTCTCTGCCGTCGTGTGCGCGTGCGCGATTAGGAGCGCGCCGTTAGGAGCTCAACACATCTGTCTCGCATGCACGCTCGCTCGCTATAGATTACAGGATATTTTAACTAATTTGCGGTAAAACTAGTCGATCACGAATGGCTCAACTGGTAGATCTATAGATAAACTTATCTTTCAGGCATTTGACCGACCGGGTTGACACTTCAGCGTGAGAAATCGGGGGTGTGGCGTGAGAGCGTGAGAATTGGCTCAATTGCGTGAGTCTCACGGTGAATGCGTGAGAGTTGGCAGCCCTAATACAAACTTTTAATTTAGACCCTAAATAATCATATTAGCTTGTACAAAAATGGCATTATATGACCCCTTTAAGAAATAATTGAGAAAAGGTGTGACAACTAGCCCCTACGTCATTTATATTCATGCATTTGTCAGACATGCATTGCATTTTATCTGTTCATGCTGTGGAACGTACATCACAGAATCACTGTACAAATGTGTAGAAAAATCAGATGCAGCTCATATGTTTTTCTCAGGAGTTTTCGCTCATTTTGATCTCTAAATCATGTGCTGATCCTCCAGGTGAAGGAGTTTGATTCGATCTCCCGTCTCGACCAGTGGCAGACCACCATGTTGCTGCGTATCAAGAAGACCATCCAGGGTGATGCCGGTGACCTGAAGTGATGTGTCCAGGACAAATACTGTGGCATATCTAGTTTAATTTCTTACCGTATATTGTGTGTGTGTGTGTGTGACAATCTGTTTGAACATTTCTGTAGTGACACTAGCTCAAATATCAGCCGTTTCTTGGAAAATTCAGAGGGAACTTGCATTGCAATTGCAATGCCTTGCGTTTGAGAAAATAGAAGTATATACAACACTAACATGGATAATTCTCTCATGGAAGGCATTTCTCTATCCCTTTACTTCGCCATGAGGAAATCTTTACCGTACACCCTTGTTTGTACTTGTGTGTGGCATGCGAGACCCGTAGAGCTGTTCTCTTTCTAATGTTCACCTCAGTGTTGTCACTGGCATTGTCATGCATGATAAATGTTTAAAGTGTGTTAATGTGCTGTAGAATATCAGGATTTTGTGGGTGCACTTTATTTCAGGCCTAATCAGCTGTCAGTTTAGATTGAAAACACATCGCCTTTGCTCGGTTAAACCATTTTTGTGCCATTGGTCTCAGAAATGCATCCTCACGTTGTCTTTGTCGATATGGCAGTGCCAGTTCTGTCGGAGTATTTGCTTTAGTGGTTGAATTAAGCGTTGTACATGTTTCATAATCAGTAGAATAGTGTCTCTTGCTCACTTATGGAGGTGAATTTCTCGGCTCAAGTGATTTTTCACAGTGTGATATTACAGAAAGCCTTGATTCTCTAACGCAGATCATGTTGAATATGTACATGTAAGTTCTGATTGCTGATTTCTTGAGTATTATTTGTAATTTTACGTTTATTGGTTGTCGTTTCACATGGATACGGGGCATTTGTTGTTTTGGGCATTCAGACCTTATGAATTATTTTAGTTTGAGTGCTACTTTTTGTGCTTTGAAATTCTTTACAATATTGTTGATAATTTAATGAAGAATGAACAGCTTTACTCTTTGTGTCGGTAATTAAATTGATGATTGAATGCTCTATCTAATATGTTGTATGACTGAAAGGGGATTAAAAAATGTATGTTAAAATGTGCTTTAAAATAGGCAAGTCTTAAGACGTTTTAATAAATGTTCTAACTATTTATTCAAAGAGAAATGAATAAATGATCATCCACATCATGTCTGGAGTTTATGGTCATATTTTATATTCATTCATGCATGGAAACTCATGGAGTTCATTTTTTTCTGACATGTGTATGTGATTTCAAATGCTGGAAGTATGTAAATATATATATAGAATATATTTAGACAAAATGATAACAGCTTAATAGGGTTTCAGTTGTTAACATTTATGTAGTTGCTGGACCGTCCAAACCCTTATTAGGGCTCCCTGCAATTGAAGCCCTCACTCTAATACAGCGTCTCAACACTACAAGAGCAACAGGAGGACATTATAGCAGAATACCTCAGTATTCTCTGGCTTAGGCAAATTAAAAGAGCCATACAAAATTGAGTTGGAGCCGGCTGCTGTCCCATATGCTCTATCTTCTCCACGCCGTGTGCCCCTGCCAATGAGAGATCATAAGGTGCAAGCAGAGTTAAAACGCATGGAGGATATGGGAGTGATTTCTAAAGTGACTCAGCCCACTCCATGGTGTGCAGGGATGATGGTAGTGCCCATGGCTCAAGGAAAGATACGGCTGTGTGTGGATTTGAAGCACCTAAATAAGTGGATGCGGAGAGACGTCACATCCTCCCTGCTGTAGAGCAGACACTTGCAGGTGTAGCACTGAGTATTTCAAAACGGATAAAAATTGCACCCCCCTTTAAATTTTGAACTAGGTAAAGACATTATTGTGACATGTATCTGTATTACTGGATTGCACTGTGTTTTGAGTAAAATCATTCTGGTTAAACTCAGGTTCGTCAGCAGGGGGCCCCCCAAGCGTTACACTACGCATCAGTAGCTCACTGACAGAATAGAAGTAGCATTCAGTAAATGATGAAGTGCGGTGTACATGCAATGAAAAGCGCTCCTTGTTTGACTTGTGTTTTTCATGTCTTTTGAACAGAAATAAATGTGTTGCCCCAGGAAGTGACATCGCAACCGACCGTCTGCTAGCTGTCTCACGTCACAGAAGTCAGATAAATCCCATCACATAGAGACTCTTTCAGCTAGATATCATCATATAGAGATTTATGATAACATCTGTTCCCCGAATTAGGAGATACAAAAAACTCCCAAACCCATGTGGCACCCCTAATTGTACAACTGACTACGCCACCCCTTCGCACTACCACCGGTGAACAAAGACACAGACCTCATTTGAAGTAATACACACTAGAGTTCAATGTCTACACACTGCACACTCACAGCACTCTAATAAATATGGTTAAAAGGCATTAAGGTTCACACTACACGGCACTGCAAACTTCTTCGTTAAACAAGAGAAAAAGAAAAGAAAAGAAAGGGAAACTCGCTTTCCAGTGAGGTCTCTTGTACAGGAGCTACCCTGGCTCCACTAACACAGAGGCTGGTTACAAACAGAAAGGGGGATTGGGCCTAAATAAAATAATAATTAATAAACCCACTCTAGCCTGAGCCTCTTCTTATTCATTATATGATTGTAGTTGTACCATAATCCTCAGTTTACACAAAAATGCAGAGCACCAACCTAGCACATTTGTTAGATGTGTGTCGTTTTGTGAAAATGGAGATTAAATGTAGACAAAAGTTATGCAATTGAAAGAGCAAAAAGGAGGACTGATTTTTTTCAGTTTTAGTACTTTAAAACCTGTAAGGTTGCCACGTGGCCCGGTTTTACCGGGATTGTCCTTCTTTTTAATAACCTGTCCCGGGAAATTGATCCACTCTCCCGGGAACTAAATGTCCCGGTTTTTCGAAAAGCTACGTGAAAATGTATGTTCAATCAACTATTTTCTCTCCACTTGAAATAACTTCATACGACAAGTCATTAGTCATATTTTTGGACCTTTTGGAGAGTGAGTCCCTCGCTGAGGAAACTGAGTTGCTCACTGAGGAAAGTGAGTCGCCCGTTGTGTGAGGAAAGTGAGTCGCTTGTTGTGTGAGGAAAGTGAGTCGCCCGTTGTGTGAGGAGAGTGAGTCGCTCGATGAGGAAAGTGAGTCGCCCGTTGTGTGAGGAGAGTGAGTCGCTCGCTGAGGAAAGTGAGTCGCCCGTTGTGTGAGGAGAGTGAGTCGCTCGCTGAGGAAAGTGAGTCGCCCGTTGTGTGAGGAGAGTGAGTCGCTCGCTGAGGAAAGTGAGTCGCCCGTTGTGTGAGGAAAGTGAGTCGCTCGTTGTGTGAGGAAAGTGAGTCGCTCGTTGTGTGAGGAAAGTGAGTCGCTCGTTGTGTGAGAAAAGTGAGTCGCTCGTTGTGTGAGGAAAGGGAGTCGCTCGTTGTGTGAGGAAAGTGAGTCACCCGTTGTGTGTGAGGAGAGTGAGTCGCTCGCTGAGGAAAGAGAGTCGCCCGTTGTGTGAGGAGAGTGAGTCGCTCGCTGAGGAAAGAGAGTCGCCCGTTGTGTGAGGAGAGTGAGTCGCTCGCTGAGGAAAGTGAGTCGCCCGTTGTGTGAGGAGAGTGAGTCGCTCGCTGAGGAAAGTGAGTTGCTCGCTGAGGAAAGTGAGTCGCCCATTGTGTGAGGAGAGTGAGTCGCTCGCTGAGGAAAGTGAGTCGCCCGCTGTGTGAGGAGAGTGAGTCGCTCGCTGAGGAAAGTGAGTTGCTCGCTGAGGAAAGTGAGTCGCCCATTGTGTGAGGAGAGTGAGTCGCTCGCTGAGGAAAGTGAGTCGCCCGCTGTGTGAGGAAAGTGAGTCGCTCGCTGAGGAAAGTGAGTCGCTCGCTGAGGAAAGTGAGTCGCCCGCTGTGTGAGGAGAGTGAGTCGCTCGCTGAGGAAAGTGAATCGCTCACTGAGGAAAGTGAGTCGCCCGTTGTGTGAGGAGAGTGAGTCGCTCGCTGAGGAAAGTGAGTCGCCCGCTGTGTGAGGAGAGTGAGTCGCTCGCTGAGGAAAGTGAGTCGCCCGTTGTGTGAGGAAAGTGATCGCCCGTTGTGTGAGGAGAGTGAGTCGCTCGCTGAGGAAAGTGAGTCGCCGTTGTGTGAGGAGAGTGAGTCGCCCGTTGTGTGAGGAGAGTGAGTCGCTCGCTGAGGAAAGTGAGTCGCTCGCTGAGGAAAGTGAGTCACCCGTTGTGTGAGGAGAGTGAGTCGCTCGCTGAGGAAAGTGAGGTGCCCGTTGTGTGAGGAGAGTGAGTCGCTCGCTGAGGAAAGTGAGTCGCCGTTGTGTGAGGAATAGTGAGTCACCCATTGTGTGAGGAGAGTGAGTCGCTCGCTGAGGAAAGTGAGTCGCTCGCTGAGGAAAGTGAGTCGCCCGTTGTGTGAGGAGAGTGAGTCGCTCGCTGAGGAAAGTGAGGTGCCCGTTGTGTGAGGAGAGTGAGTCGCTCGCTGAGGAAAGTGAGTCGCCCGCTGTGTGAGGAAAGTGAGTCGCCCGTTGTGTGAGGAAAGTAAGTCGCTCATTGTGTGAGGAAAGTGAGTCGCTCGTTGTGTGAGAAAAGTGAGTCACTCGTTGTGTGAGGAAAAGGAGTAGCTCGTTGTGTGAGGAAAGTGAGTCGCTCGTTGTGTGAGGAGAGTGAGTCGCTCGCTGAGGAAAGTGAGTCGCTCGCTGAGGAAAGTGAGTCGCCCGTTGTGTGAGGAGAGTGAGTCGCTCGCTGAGGAAAGTGAGTCGCCCGCTGTGTGAGGAGAGTGAGTCGCTCGCTGAGGAAAGTGAGTCGCCCGCTGTGTGAGGAGAGTGAGTCGCTCGCTGAGGAAAGTGAGTCGCCCGCTGTGTGAGGAGAGTGAGTCGCTCGCTGAGGAAAGTGAGTCGCCCATTGTGTGAGGAGAGTGAGTCGCTCGCTGAGGAAAGTGAGTCGCTCGCTGAGGAAAGTGAGTCGCCCGTTGTGTGAGGAGAGTGAGTCGCTCGCTGAGGAAAGTGAGTCGCCCGCTGTGTGAGGAAAGTGAGTCGCCCGCTGTGTGAAGAGAGTGAGTCGCCCATTGTGTGAGGAGAGTGAGTCGCTCGCTGAGGAAAGTGAGTCGCTCGCTGAGGAAAGTGAGTCACCCGTTGTGTGAGGAGAGTGAGTCGCTCGCTGAGGAAAGTGAGGTGCCCGTTGTGTGAGGAGAGTGAGTCGCTCGCTGAGGAAAGTGAGTCGCCGGTGTGAGGAATAGTGAGTCGCCCATTGTGTGAGGAGAGTGAGTCGCTCGCTGAGGAAAGTGAGTC